TCTCTACGCGCACGCGCACACACACCACACACACACACACACCACACATACAGCCGACGTTAGGAGATATGCGGGAGCCAGAACTCGCAGCTTCTTTCACCAAGCCATAGCCACCGGCAGCCGCCCGTTTCATCCACACTACCCGCCGCCCGTTTCCTCCAACACACTTCAATGGAAACTGCTTTACTGCTCACTGTACAGACCCAAATATGGCCCGTCTCAGCCAGCCTCAGCCGCGATTCTTCCTCCTCCGTCGCCACCCGTCTCAAATACTATAGAAATGGCCGCCGAAAATCGTCGCGATGCCAGTGATGTTCATCTGGTTCAACGCCGATGCATGCGCCTCTCTTTCTGGATTTCACGTTTTTTTGAGAATGTTGAAGTTGTGATTTGTGTGGCTCATCATGTAAATTAGATTAACTTTGGGGGTTATTTTGAAAGTTTATAAATCACAAGGACCTAATTGTAATTTCATAAAATTTAATATGATATGTTATTAGCCAAATTTATAAATATTCATACTATAATTAAGATTTAAATATTTTTTATTTAGATTTTATTGTCGATCAATTTAAGAACTACAGTGCAATTCAATAGTCATTAACGTGCAATTTGTATAACACTATTGTGCAGACGAAGTGCATGACTTATTTACGACTTGCCTCGAATCAAACTAAACTTGAACGAAATAGCCGGGTTATTTGTTTGATTAACCTAACCAACATTAATAATCGAAATAATTTAGAAATTATATTATAAAAATACATTTTATATTTTAACTTTTTATTTAATATTTTATATTACTTTTCGTTGTAAAGGTCTAAGACAAATAAATAACAAAATAATATATTTTTTTTATAATATTTGATCGGTTCAGTTATTTTGAAAAATAAAGCTTACATCAAACCGAAACAACTAAAATTTAAAAAGTGAAAATAGAAAATTGAACCAAAGTATAAAATTTGGACCAAACACATATTTTGTTTGGGTTCGTCTGATATAGTGCAATATGGCTGTCATTAATGTGCAATTCGTCTTGCACAAATGTGCAATCGCAGTATATGCATTTTTTTTAATTTTCCCAACCCAAAACTAAAGCCGAACAAATTAAAAAAAAATATTTATAATATAATCCAGTTGGTTAACTTATTTAAGTTATTTAAGAAAATAATCTGACAATCGTACTGAAATAATCAATTATATGAAATTAATAAAAAAAGAAAAGAAAAGATGATCATCATGTAATATAAAACTAGTATAGATCCCGTGCGATGCACGGGGTGCACAAAATTAAGGTAATTTATCAAGTCTTATAATCTATACTATCTTAAAAGAGCCAATGAATCTGTAAAAATTTGTTTTGCCTAAATTACCCTTATTTTGTCAAACTAATTTTGTAATAGTTATTAAATAAATATTAGTAATTTAATATTATATTAATAATAAACCAGCAATAATCCTAAATTTTCCTGAACACAACGAAATCTGTACCCAAAAAAACTCGGAATCGCACATCCTTCACAACGCGCCATTCAGACGGACCTGAAATCGATCGGCTTTTTTCTCCTGTGGGTGGTGAAGAAGACATCGATTAGGAAGACATTGATCGGCTTTTTTTCCTGTGGCTTTTTTTTTTCATCCTTCTGCCGTATGCTCACGATTCAGGTTTCAATATTTTCTCTCTGGATCGATTTTTGTTTATGGATTTGTGATGTCTTCAATGTGGCGTCTTGATTATCGATTTTCAGACATACAGTCAACGGCCTCACGGAAATTGACCGTCCAAAGGCGCACCACGGTGGCCCTCTTCACGACTGGAAAACAGACGGGCAAAATTAGGGATTGGAGTTTCTTTTCGAGGATTTTACAGGTTCACAAAGCAGTAAGGGATAACTGAGATAAAGGAGACATTTTGGTCTGCGCTTGGAATTTCGACCGACGACGACAGAGGACCAGGCGAGTCTTTTCTTGTAGTTCTGATTATGCCTTCGTTTTCCTGTCTGTAATCTTTTCGATTTATTAACAATTGTTTACATGAGTCTTGAATAGTGATGGAGTTTTTCAATGTATAAGAGTGTTTCAATAATGAACAAAATATTTGTGTGCTCTAGGACATGTCAGGGTTCGTTTGGACATAGGGCTTTGTGGAGTCTTTGATTTGGAAAGTTATATTGAATAGTAGAATGCTTATCTGCATTGTGTTGTGCAAGTCGAGCCGGATTTGTGGGACACTTCTGTTAGATTTAGATAGTAAATTTTGTGTTTGTTATAGAATAATTTTTCTGTTGGATTTAGATTGTAAATATATGGTTGTGTTTGCATTTGAGTTTGAATGGGGGTGGAGATCATCCTGTGGGACAAGAAATCTCATGACAACTAAAGAAATTTAGCCTATTCACATTAATAAGTCAGGCGTTCTTCCAAAATTTGGCATCTGTCGTCGTCGGTCGAAAATTATTCATTTGTTCTGTAAAAATAAAACAAAAATGAATCCCTAAATCATTCATTTATGTGTTTTAATAAATAATTGGTATCTGTTGTTTTTTAAGTTCAATTATCAAAGGGCATGTATGCCAAATTCTGTCTTTAAGAGATCTTCCAACGACAGCACAAGTTTGAAACTGGCGTGGATGGAAAGGTGGCTTTGCTGGTAAAAGCACATTAAGATGTTCCTCACAAAGAGTCTTATTGTAACATTTATTTGCTCCTCTACAGTAATAAAGAAAGCAAGCACAAGTACATTGACAAGTTACGATTTCTGCTAAACTAAGTTTGGAGAAAAAAATGAGAGCACTGCAGATATTTTCAGCAAAAGGAAGGCCAGTAACATAATTCATTACTGTAAAAGTAATGAAAAATTGTGCATTAATTGAAAAATTGTCACTACATCTTAGAAAATAATTATTAACAAAAAGAGGTAACACAGACAAGCTTATGTTAAAAACAACACAAGCAATAGAAAGCAAATTTACTTACTTGGAGCCAAAAGAAAAATCTGTGAAGGATGTTCAAGGATTTCCTCGGCTTGTGTTGGGATGTTTCGAGCTTTCTCTCAATTTCTGCACTTTATTAAAGGAGTTGAAGCATGGGGAATATAAAATTGAGACGCTTAAAAAAAATAGTAATTTGCTTAGCCATTTAGGAAGGTGAAAAAGAATGATGCTTTGATGAATGAGAAATGGATTTGCATTTGGATCTACAAGAAAAGTGTTTTTGTTTGTCTGAGTTTGATCCATTCTTTGGATTGTTTAAGTTACTTGATTTAGTGAAGTTACTTGGGATTGGCTGGTGTTTTGACTAAGTTATTTGCATGTCAGCTTCTGTGATATATGATTTGGGGGATAATATTCTAATTTGTGTTGGTCCAAAGTATGTAGAGTTCAATTTATTAGTGTGCTGTCTGGATTATCCTATTTCATGCACTAGATTTTTGTGGAAAGAATGTGTTTTGCCGTGGATTTTGGATCTTGTCATTGTGGTTTATGCATTGGCTAACTTATTTGCTTTCATCCTTGGTATTAATGAAAATCTAATCCATAGATCTCGGAATGTAAGCATAAATTTTATGGTGTTTATCACGTGAGAGGAGGCTTGCTTCATTTCTTTCTATTTTATTTTCATTTCTCTTGCTAATTTTAGATTTTATTTTTTGATTTTAATTAAATTTATTGTTCTTTGGCACAATGATTTAGTTTTTAAAGGATCTTATCAAGTTGTAGCATGAGTCGAAGATCATCCACAGTTGATTTGTCAACAGGTAATATATATATATATATATATACACACATATTAATATGCGTTTTTTTCATCTATTATATCATATAACAATTTAACTAATAATAAAATCATATTAATTATTTATGCAAGAAATTAATAGAAAACATTTTCATCATTCTATTCATTTTGCATGATATATATCTTTTTTTGAAAAATTTTATTCATTTGTATCACAGCGAAAGATGCATATCGACGTCGAAATGTGGCTAAGATGAAAAGAAAATACAACGATTTAGATGCTTATCAGAAGCAAGTGTATTGTGTTACAAAAAATAAACATCGCAAGGGCCAAAATATGGGTGTTGCATGTCTTCATACCGATGAAGTTTCATCTGGACCTAAAGGTTAGAAATATTCAATCCTCTACTAAAAAATATATACATATTTTGCTAGATCTAAATGAGTACTGTATGTTTCTTTTATACTTCAAGAATTTGTTGTTTTTGTTGTTTCTATAATATTTGTCATTATGTTTGATTCGCCCATAAATATAATTATTAAAATTCCATGTACTTAATGTGATTTACTAGAGATATATTATTAATACTCTATTATTATTGTACATAGAAAAAATAAATTAGGCATTTCATTCATTTATCTGATTTAATAAACAATTTGAATTTGTCATTTTTTAGGTTCAATTATCATAGGGAATGTATGAAAGCTCGCCCTCGAGCCCTGGGCCGGTCGGCCGGGTCTTTCCCTGTTGTTCTGTTCCCGCCACGAGAAGCGCGCAAGAGGTATGCCCAGCGCGCCGAGGGATCCGATAACAGTGATACATGAGTTGGAAAAAATGTCCGATTGCATACATTGCGGTGCAATGAAATTTCAGTACGAGTGTCCAACATTTTGTTGTGATAATGGAAAAGTCAAACTTGCTCATATTGAAGTGCCTGATGAAGTATATGAATTTTTCACTTCACAGACGGAAGAGGGAAAACAGTTTCGAATAAACATTCGTCTATTTAACAGTATGTTCTCTTTTACATCATTAGGGGTCAAATTAGATAAAGAACATGCATCTGCAAGACAAGGAGTCTATACTTTTCGAGCTCAGGGAGTAGTGTATCATGATCTTCCTAGCTTATTGCCTAAAGAAGATAGCCCTGGATATTTTCAGTTGTACTTTGTGGAAACAGAACGAGAGGTCGAGAATAGGATGTGCATATTTCCAAACTCCTCTTTATCTAAATCTACGGTTAACAAACTCATTAAAGTTTTAGATGTAAACCCATATGCAAAAGTTTTTAGAAGATTGAAGGACTATCCATCAATGGATGAAGTTCGACTGCATATCTCAAAGGATGCAAAATTAAACCAGCGCGTGTATAATTGTCCGACAACTGATCAAGTCGCAGCAATATGGGTTGGAGGAAATAATGTTAATATTCCCTTTGAACGTGACATTGTCATTCATGCACATTCAGGTAGACATAGAATAAAGCATTATTTTGGATGTTATGATCCACTGCAATATCCCCTCCTTTTTCCAAGAGGTGATGGTGGTTGGCATAAAAAAAATTTCAAGTTAGCTTCTGATGGAAATTCTACGCAGAAAGAAGGTACAATATTAATTTTTTTATGTTTAGTGCTTTGTATTTTATATATTAATATGACATTTTATTTTGTTTTTATTTTTGCCGAAGCAATTGCAAGATTACAACCTATCAATGATGTTGATGTGAAAGAGAGTTTGTCAAAATCTCCCAAATCCCCAAGTCTTCTGCCAAAGAATCAAGAGGCGTCACAAAAAAAGCAAGTTCAAAGAAGAAAACGCGTCGCTGACAAGATGAAGGAAGACACCGATGATAGTGTCATTGAAATCGACGATAATGAAACAATCAGCAGTCTTAAAAAGAAATGTGTGCAGAAAAATTCGAAAGGAAAGGAAAAGAAGGCATCCTCTCCGATCATCACCATAAAGAAAGAGAAGAGTTGAAGATCATAGTTACTTATCTTTATTATTTAAATTTAAGAACATTATTTAGTTACTTTGTTTGAATTTAAGAACAATCTTTTGTTAGTTACTTTGTTTAAATTTAGGAACAATCTTTTGTTACGTATTTTTTTGCAGTATCTTATATACTTTACATTTTTAAAAATTACATCTACTAAGATATTTTATCTTGGAACATTACTATTTTATCCCGATAAATTCATACTTCACATAAAAATTGAGATTAACAAAACTTAATAACTTGACACAAACAACTCCACATTAAAACTTAATTAGCAAAAAAATATTTTCACCACGTGCAACGCACGTGATCTTTACTAGTTATAAAAATGGTTAAAGAAAAATGTACGGGATATATATAGTACGTGATCTGTAATAGGCAAAAATGTGAACACGGGTGATGCATGGGATGCACAATTTTAAGGTCATTTATTAGTACAGAGTCGGTGCGATGCACGGGGTGCACAATTTTCTAGTATGTGTAATACAAATACATACAATATGCACGGGACAGAAGCACTAAATGAGTTATTTCTACAGAGCTTGCCCATTAAGTAGCTCCTGAATACGGGTGCACAATTTGTAGGACGTACTATAAAAACATAACAGATTTCCATACAATTAGAGAATAAACAAAGTATTTTTTTTATTTTAGTAAAGATTATACGTACTTCTTTTTACATAAGGATGTTATGGGATTTCTTTGTTAAACCGATTATATGGGATATAATACAAATACAATTAGAGGATTGAACAAAATCAGAACAGATTTATATATAATTAGATAATAAGAAGGAATTAGATAAGGAAAAGAAGAAATTATATAATGAATTTTGAATCTACCTTTTTTTTTTAGTATAGATAGACTTTATGTACAAATTTTGACTTCACCGATTTTATGAGATTTGTTTTGACAAAATCAAAGACGAACACTGAAGATTGTTTCTATTAACATTTACACTGTGTGTTTAATGTTTTTTTCGGCAAAATATTCTTTTTAAGTGTGATATATTAATATTAAAAATACTTAAAATATTTTAATAAAAGCATCTAAAATATTCTATATTATTCACAAATAATGTTTGAAGCTACCTAAGTTTTTCTAAACTACCCGTAAGGAAAATATGTATAAAAAATCTTCATTTAACCTTCATATATGTATATATATAGAGAAAGCAAATGTGTAAAAAAAAAATTATACAAATAATATTTAAAAGTATCTAATATATTAGTAATTAGACAGGCGAAATTTAGATTTTTAAAAAATCTATATAGATAATGGATTTGTAGTAGTAATTAAACTTTTATTTATTTACCTTTAAAGTTGTTACGATAGAGGGATGTGGTTTTTTTGACTCGTGGAGATTGACTTATAAGGTGTGTTATGAAATTTTTCTTAAACTCATCCATATCTATGCGATGAGTTTTTTAAGCTGGGTATATAGATTTAAAATTATAAAAAAAAGCTTTCATAAATCATTTGATTTGGTATTTTCGGAGAGCTTCATTAATTTAAAAGTGTAAAATAAATAAATAAATAAAGTACAACTGAAAAAGTTATAACCAATTGTATGGAGAATTAAACTAAATCCAATTTTTTAGGATGCATTAAATATTGATTAGATTTTATATGTAAAATAAAATAAAAATTAAATGGAATAGTTTTACGTGTTGCAATACTTTACATTTAAAAAAAAAATAAAAAATTTAAATTTTCTTTTACGTATTGCATACCAACATTTTAGGAAATGCATGGATATTCCTAAATTAATATTGCATACTCAATATTTTATGAACTAATTAAATACTAATTTGATTTGCATACCAAAAATATTAGATGCATTAATTAAATGTTTGATAAAAATAGCAAAGCATTAATTAGGGTTGACTATTCTACATACTACATTTAGTAAATAGTATAGCTTTTAATATAAGTATAGATTGCAAAAAAATATTTTGGTCAGTTTTGTTCGATTTTGTGCAATCCGATAGTCGTCAATGTGCAATTCACCTAGTACTATTGTGCACTCATAGCGCAGACATTTTCAATGATCTTTTTTCAAACCAAACTAAAAACGATCGAAAGAATCAGTTTTTCGGTTAAACGAGTAATATAAAATAATCAAAATCATTTATTATCTATATCATAAAAGTGTATTTAGCATTTTAATATCTATATTTAATATTTATATCGGTTTATAATTGAAAATACATAACAATAAAATACCGAAATCAATAATGTGCGTTCGCACAAACAATAATGTGCAATTTGTATAATATTATTATCCAATCTGCTGGGCAATTATTTTTTATGGGCATTTAAATTTTACAAATTTTAATAATTTGTTTTCTTAACATTATTTTTTATTTATACAATAAAATTATATTTAGTAATTATAATTTTTCGTTTAATATTTTATATTATTATTTGTTGAAATCAAATAAAAGAATGACAAAAAAATACGTTGTTGAACAAATGTACATTCCTGAATACAATAATGTACATTTAGGCTAACGCTATAGTGCATTATGACAATCATTAACGTGCATAATGTTTAATTATATTTTGCATTAAGTCCGGCCTTTTTTTATGTGTATATTCAATATAAAATCAAACCAAAATAATTGAGTTATTCGGTTGGTTAGTCGAATTAACATAAATAATTAAAATATATTATTATTTATTTTCATAAAAGTATAATTAATATTTTAATTTTTTTATGAATATAATATATTTAAGTATAAAACATGTTTAAAAATATTATTCTTTTATATAAGTTTTATAAATTATAGATTTGGCCTAAAACTTAAATTGAAAATTATCAAAATTAAAAAAATTGCAACTATGTCCTTGATAGTTATCTAATTTCTAAAAGCATGCCCTACAGCTCAAATCTGAAATTCAGCCCGTTCGTTCAAATCTCACCACACCTAGGGGTGAGCATGGTGCGGTTCGGTGCAAAACCGCATCGAACTGCAATAAATTGAAAACCAAAAAATATTTATTTACCCAAACCGAACTGCACCGAAACTTGTAGAAAAACCGAACTGAAACCGCACCGAAATTTTCAGTTTGGTTCGGTGCGGTTTCGGTTAACCGCAAAATTAAAAAAAAAGAAAAAAAAAAAGAAAAAACCCAAATAATATGAAGCCACATCCTCATCATCATCTAATGAACCAAAACCCAAAATTTGAACTCAAAGTAAAAAACAAGTGAACCAAATTAAATTCTAATGTAATATTTTTAATTTTTTATCGTTATTGTTATTATTTATTATTTTACTTATTTATTATTAATGTAGTCATTTCATACCATAGGCCCAAAATGAGCATGTATATGTACAATACAAACATGTTAACTTAAAAAAAATAAAAAATATTTGGTGCAGTTCGGTTAAAACCGCACCATTTGGACAAAAAACCGAACCACATCGAATTTGTGCGTTTTTTCAAAGTTTTAACCGTACTGAAAACCGAACCCTTGAAAAACAGAACCGAACCGCACCAAATACGTCAGTTCGGTTCGATTTTTTGACATTGGCTCGAATTTGCTCACCCCTAACCATATGGCCAACGGCCATTAGCCCAGTTACACCATCACCACCATACAAGTATAGTTAATATCATTTATTTTCGAAATTATGTTTTTCTAGTGCGATTCCCGCATATCTCGTCCCAAAATTTTCACAGCAGATGAACCAGCTTGGCGGTGGCGGCGCCGTCGAGTCTCACATAGGTGACCGGATGTGCGGCGGAGACTGTCGGATGAGGATAAAAATAGGGAGACGCAGCGTTCGGACGACTGCGAGCGGCAACGACAATGGAGTTCCCGGGCGGTGGCAATCCGCGGTTGCGAGCGTCGACGACGACCTGTGCATGATATTCTGTGTGTGTTTGTCGAAATACTATGTG